TTTTTGTATTAACAGCAAACATCTCCCACCCACAGCACCCAAGAGCCCTGCATGGAGACCACCCTGCAGCTTATCAAGGACCACCTTCGCCTTAACATACATAGTGATGACCTAAAGGATTGCAAACTGATGGGCTACCAAGCAGGTAAAAAAACAGTGCTGTTAAAATTCCAAACTAGCCTACAAAGAAACAACCTACTAAAAACATCTATTTCTATGAAAACTGATGTTTACGTCAATGAGTGCCTTACCAAAACAAGACAAAACCTTCTTTATCGGCTATGAAAATTACGCTATGCCCAAAAAATCCACCAGTGCTTTGTGAGGGATGGAAAAATCGCAGTTAGGAAACAGCCCACGGGAAAGATACTTCATCTCTACAGAACATGACCTTAAAACATTCCTAAGTGAGGCTGGGACTAACAGAATCAGAGAAAAGTGCAGATAATACCCAAAAGTCCACCGTTAGTGTTATATTGTCATAAATTTGGCCCCCCTAAAATTCTAATACTCCAACTACTTTTTGTTTGTCATTGTTGTATTCAACGACCATTCTACCTCATAGTCTTAATTTGCTTATTATCTACAGAATCTATCTCCTTTTTTTACAACTTACCGCATCACTGTTCCATCTTATTTTATTATAAACTAGCCATAATTTGTCCTCAATAATTCTACCTCACTTTAAGAAATACTCATTGCCCAATTTTATTCTAAAATCCCTATTATTGCCCAATTTTGCTTTAAAAATATATTGATCAAACTTATTGTAAACTTCTTTTATTGACCATTTTATTCTATACTTTTTTAAACTAGTATTTTCAACTACAACTTTTATATTATCCTGTCTACCATCTTACTAGCATATTATAACCAAGTCATTGCCATTTTTATTTTTATCATTTTTTTATTATTATTATTCTTTTGCTACCTTAACTTGTGTATTTTATCCCGTCAATTTAAATCTAGTTATACTCTAATTCTTGTTAAACAACTTATATAACACCTTAGTGCAATTACAATTGAGAGTCTTGTGCCTTTTTTATAATATTAGATTAAACTCAGTTGTACTATAGTCAATACCAAATTCAAATTTTATTAGACCATATTGCAATTACTAGTGAGAGACTGGTGGGTATTTTTAATTTGTATTTTTATATTTTTAGATTAAATCTAGTTGTACTATAGCTCATTCTAGCTTTAAAAACAGACTCCACAAAAGTCATTATATTAGACCCCTTTGTTGCAATTACAAGTGAGAGTCTTGTTCTATTTTAAATTTGTATTTTTAATTACTAGTTTATACATAGTTTTTTACTTTAGTTCATTCCAGCCCCAACACATAGACAACATCAACTTCATTATGTGTAGTAGTGACTATACTCTATATGACCAAAATACTCTAGCTATATACTTATCCAAGCTTCCCACCACTACAGATATCGTACCTAGAAATCACACATAACTCAGGGTATAAATAACCATAATTTAAACCTAGAAGATGATTGATCACGTTGACCCTGATCTAAACCCCCATAATCTGACACCCAATCAAAAACCTATTGGAAAGTAACTGCCTTTATTACACAGCCCTCACAAGCCAGCACTATCCTAAACAATGCTAAAAGTCTATCAGTACTTAACTACAACATCAGGTCCTTAAGCAAACACTATGATGACCTCCTGGCACTCCTTGAATCACTAAAGACACCATTCTCCTGCATTATTCTTACTGAGACCTGGCTTAAGCAGGACACAATAGATATCTACCCTCTACCAGGACACACAGCAATTCACAACTGCAGACCAAACCAAATTGGGGGTGGTATTGCAATCTATTACTCTAACCAATTATCTTGTATTAGCACCACTTGCTTTAGTGATGAATATGGGGAATACATTTTTGCTAATTTTACTGTAAAAAACCTTAAGACACCTATAACAATCGGTACCATTTACCGGATACCTCACACAAACATCCCAAATTTCAGTGAGAAATTAAAGTCACTAATAACAAACAGACAAATGAATAAGCACCACCTTCTCTTAGCTGGAGACTTCAACATCAACCTTGGCTTACTAGATGATCAGCCTGTAACTGATTTCATCAACAATATGAACAACACACTTCTCATACACAATAACTAAACCAACCAGGCTCACTGAGACAAGTGCAACCATAATAGACCACATATGGACCAATATATAGCCCCCCTTAAATCAGGGATAATCACAGATAGCACTACAGACCACTATCCTACCTTCATCCTGACAAACATTAATAAACCACCACTTGAATACAACAAGTCTCATTTAGACTCCATGACGAGGCCTCAATAAGGAAGTTCACAGCTGACCTAGAGATTGTTGACTGGCCTACAGAATTCTCCAAGGCCAATGGTATTGATGACTGGACAGACATTTTTTTTAACAAATTACTTAGACTATACAACAAACATTGTCCTATAAAAACGAAACAGATCACAAACAAACGGCTTGGTTGCCCATGGCTAACCAGCACCATTCTGAAATCCAGTGACAAGAAACACCAATATGAAAAGCAATATAGACAGGGCTTAATACACAAAGATATTCTTAAACACTATTCATCAGTTCTCACCAAATAAAGAAAGCCAAACAACTATACTACTCCAGTAGATTCACAGACACTAGAGGAGATATAAAAAAGACCTGGAAAACACTCTCTCAGATTCTAGGGACCCACAAACTGAAAAAAAACAAGAATATTGTCCTAACTAAACCTAATGAAACACCACTACATCCCACTGACACAGCTAACAAGATAAACGACTTCTTCTCAACCATAGGATCTAATCTCGCCAATAAAATCCCACATACCAATGCCCATGCCGGGGACTACCTAGATGGGAATTTCCCAAATTCCTTCTATCTTGCACCAACTGAGCCCTCGGAAGTCAACCGAGATTATAAAGTCACTTAAAAACAACTCAGGGAATCTGTCTAATGTCCCACCATTACTGTACAAGCGAGCGGCCCATATCCTTTCGCTTGCTATTTCATTACTTTTTAACAAGTCACTAGAAACTAGCACCTTCCCGAAACTACTCAAGATGGCATGGGTTACACCAATACATAAAGGTGGTGACCCTACAGACTTAAACAACTATAGGCCAATATCAAACTTACCATTGCTATCCAAAATCTTTGAGAAACTCGTGCACAGGAGACTATATTCATTTATAACAGCACAAAACATACTCAACCCCTGCCAATTTGGATTTAGGAAAAATAAAAGCACTAATGATGCAATCATAAAAATGCTAGATCTGCTTTACACAGCATTGGAAAATAAGGAATATCCACTAGGAATTTTTATTGACCTAAGAAAAGCTTTTGACACAGTAGACCACGACATCCTACTCCACAAACTTGACCATTACGGTATAAGAGGCCATGCGCTTGCTTATTTCAAATCTTACCTTACTAATAGGTATCAGTATGTTACCATTAAAGACACAGTATCAACAACACTGCCACTTGATACTGGAGTTCCGCAGGGAAGTGGCCTTGGTCCCCTGCTCTTCCTCATATACATCAATGATCTTCCAAACGTATCCCAACATCTGAAACCCATTCTCTTTGCTGACGACACGACTTATGTCATCTCTCACCCTAATCTTGCCACCCTCAACACCATTGTTAATGAGGAGCTGATCAAAATATCGACTTGGATGACAGCCAATAAACTTACGCTTAACACTGACAAAACCTACTATATTATGTTTGGTAGCAGAGCAGGAGATGCACAAATTAACATTAAGATCGACAACACTCTAATTACCAGACATAATGAGGGCAAATTCCTAGGCCTATACCTAGACAACAACCTGAATTTCTGCACCCATATCCAACACATAACCAAAAAAGTATCCAAAACAGTTGGGATCCTCTCCAAGATACGATACTACGTGCCGCAAAAATGCCCTTCTCACACTATACCACTCACTTATTTATCCATACCTCACCTATGCTATTTGTGCTTGGGGATCAACTGTAGCAACACACCTAAAGCCAATAATAACCCAACAAAAAGCTGCAGTAAGAATAATCACTAAATCCCATCCCTGTCAACACCCCCCCCCACTCTTCATAGATCTAAACTTACTCCCTGTTCAGTACATCCACACTTACTACTGTGCAATTTACATCTACAGGACCTTAATCTCCAATATCAACCTTGACCTAAAACGCTTTCTTGATAGTTGTGACAGAACCCACAGGCATAACACCAGACACAAACATCTCTACGACATTCCCGTGTCCGACTAAACCTTTACAAAATTCAATGTATGTCAAAGGCCCTAAATCTGGAACACCCTACTGAGAACTCTAGAACTGCAGACACATTCATCACCTTCAAACTACCATTAGAAAACATCTCATCTCCCTGATACACCCCGTCAACTAACTACACGAATACCACCTGGTGGTTCACACTTACACTCACCCATTTGACCATAAACAGAAATATTAATCTCAATCTTAAAATAATGAATCCTGTGATACTCCAATACTGAAACTATGTACTGTGCCAAAACAAAAGCGTTCACATTGCTAAACTCACAAACTAGTATTTAGTCACTTAGCCATAATACCAACTTACCTCATAATTTGTAATATTTTAAAATAAAGAATTAAACTAAGTCTGCCCGAAATGCCTAGCCATGCTAGGCGTTCTAGTGGTACACTCTGTAATCATTATTTAACTACATGTAAACAACACAACAACCAAATTCTGTAAATTCAACATTGTAATCTTTATAGAGAATAAACTTTGAATTTGAATTTGAATGTGTTAAGGTTTGGTTTAGGCTATGTGTCTTAATGACTTGTCCAGGGTGTATGTTTTAATGGCTTGTCCAGGGTGTATATTTTAATGACTTGTCCATGTTTAATGCTTGTCCAGGGTGTGATTTAATGGAGTTTTAATACGTGCCTTTCACTGTGAACTCCCACAGAGAGAGCTGCAAGAGGATTACCAGAGGACATTGGTGTTATTGAACAAACTCTTCTGCGAGGCCAAGATGGTGCTGCCCTCTGGTGGGTACTGCTTAAACAAGTATGAGCTCATTGTTGGTGGGAACAGCATGTGGAGTGCCAAGGTGAATACGCAATGTAATTATAACATATGAAGCAACCTGGAATAACTATGTATAAGCAAATATTAGATCAGTTGCAAAAAGAAACACAGCAAAACCAGTAGGAATACAGCTACACCAGGAGGAACACAGATACACCAGGAGGAACACAGCTACACCTGGAGGAACACAGCTACATCAGGAGGAACACAGCTACATCAGGAGGAACACAGCTACATCAGGAGGAACACAGCTATACCGGGAGGAACACAGATACACCAGGAAGAACAAAGCTACACCAGGAGGAACACACCTACACAAGGAGGAACACACCTACACCAGGAGAAACACAGATACACCAGGAGGAACACAGATACACCAGGAGGAACACAGCTACATCAGGAGGAACACAGCTACATCAGGAGGAACACAGCTACACCGGGAGGAACACAGATACACCAGGAAGAATAAAGCTACATCAGGAGGAACACAGTTACACCTGGAGGAACACAGCTGCACCTGTATGAACACAGCTGTACCAGAAGAAACACAGCTGCGCGAGGAGGAACACAGCTGCGCAAAAAGGAACAAAGCGACACCAGGAGAAACACAGCTACACCAAGAGGAACACAGGTACACCATGAGGAACACTGCTACAACAGGACAAACACAGCTACACCAACAGGAACACAGTTATATTAGAAATATCACAGTTACACCAGGAGGAATACAGGTATAATAGAAGGAACACAGTTACACCAAGAGGAACACAGCTACACCAGGAGAAACACAGATACACCAAGGGGAACACAGGTACACCAGGAGAAACGCAGCTACAACAGGACAGACACAGCTACAGCAGGAGGAACACAGTTATACCAGAAGTAACACAGCTATACCAGAAGGAGCACAGCTACAACAGGACGTACACAGCTATACCAGGAGGAACGCAGCTACACCAGGAGGAACACAGCTACAAAAGGAGGAACGTAGCTACAAAAGAAGGAACGTAGCTACACCACGAAGAACACAGCGACACCAGGAGGATCAGAGCTACACCAGGAGGAACACAGATGCACCAAGAGGACGACAGCTACATCAGAAGGAACGTAGCTACACCAGGAAGAACACAGCTACACCAGGATTAACACAGCTACACAAGGAGGAACACAGCTACACCAGGAGGAACACAGTTACACAAGAAGAAACAGAGCTGCACCAGGAGGAACACAGCTACACCAGGAGGAACACAGCTGCACCAAGAGGAACACAGCTGCACCAAGAGGAACACAGCTGCACCAGAAGAAACATAGCTACACCATAAAAAACACAGCTGCATCAGGAGGAACACAGCTACACAAGGAGAGGAACACAGCTGCGCCAGGAGGAATACAGCTACACCAGGAGAAACACAGCAACACCAGGAGGAACACAGCTACACCAGGAGGAACACAGCTACACCAGGAGGAACAGAGCTACACCAGAAGGAACAAAGCAACACCAGAATGAACACAGCTCCACCAGAAGAAACACAGCTACACCAGGTGGAACACAGCTACACCAGAAGGGACACAGCTACACCACGAGGAACACGTCTACTCCAAAAGGAACACAGCTGCACAAGGAGGAACACAGCTACATCAGAAAGAACACAGCTACACAAGGACGAACACAGCTACACGAGGATTAACACAGCTACTTCAGTAAGAACGTAGCTACACCAGGTGGAACACAGCTACACCAGGAAGAACACAGCTACACCAGGATAAACACAGCTACACAAGGAGGAACACAGCTACTCCACAAAGAATACAGCTACACCAGCAGGAACACAGCTACTCCAAGATTAACACAGCTACACCAGGAGGAACACAGCTACACCAGGAGGAACACAGCTACACCAGGAGGAACACAGCTATACCAAGAGGAACACAGCTGCACCAAGAGGAACAAAGCTACACCAAAAGAAACACAGCTGCACCATGAGGAACACAGCTACACAAAGAGGAACATAGACAAACCAGAAGGAACACAGCTACACCAGGAGAAACACAGCTACACCAGGAGGAACATAGCTACACCAGGAGGAACACAGTTACAACAGGAGGAACATAGTAACGCCAGTAGGAACACATCTTCACCAGAAGGAACACAGCTACACCAGTTGAAACACAGCTACACCAGAAGGAACACAGCTACACCAGGAGGAACACGGCCGCACCAAAAGGAACACAGCTGCACAAGGAGGAACACAGCTGCACCAGGAGGAACACAGCTACACCAGAAAGAACACAGCTACAGCAGCAGGAACACAGCTGCACCAGGATTAACACATCTACACAAGTAAAAACATAGATACACCAGGAGGAACACAGCTACAACAGGAGGAACACAGCTACACCAGGATTAACACAGCTACACAAGGAGGAACAGAGGTACTCCAGAAACAACACAGCTACACCAGGAGGAACACAGCTTCACTAGGAGGAGCAAAGCTACACAAGGAGGAACACAGCTACACCAACAGGAACACAGCTAAACCAGGATGAAAACAGCTTCACCAGGAGGAGCACAGTTACAACAAGAGGAACACAGCTACCCCAGGAGGAACACAACTACACCAGGAGGAGCACAGTTACAACAGGAACAACACAGCTACCAAAAGAGGAACACATCTCAACCAGGAGGAACACAGCTACACCAGGATGAAAACAGCTAAACCAGGAGGAACACAGTTACACCATGAGGAACACATCTACACCAGAAGGAACACAGATACACCAGGAGGAACACAGTTACACCAGGACGAACACAGCAACACCAATACGAAAACAGCTACACCAGGAGAAGCATATATACACAAGGAGGAACTCAGCTACACTAGGAGGAACACAGGTACACCAGGAGAAACAAAGTTACACCAGGAGGAGCACATTTGCACCAGAAAGAACGCAGATACACCAGGAGAAACACAGTTACACCAGACGGAATACAGTTACACCAGGAGAAACACAGCTACACTATGAGGAACACAGTTACACAAGGAGGAACACAGTTACGCCAGCAGGAAAACAGCTACACCGGGAGGAGCACAGCTATACCAGGAGGAGCGCAGTTACAACAGGGGGAACAGAGCTACCCAAGGAGGAGCACATCTATAGTAGGAGGAACACAGCAACATCGGAAGGAAAACACCTACACCAGGATCAAAACAGCTACACTAGTAGGATCACAGTTACAACACAAGGAACACAGCAACCCCAGGAGGAACACAGCTACACCAGGAGGAACACAGATACACCAGCAGGAACACAGCTGCATCATAAGAACAGGTACACAAGGAGGAGCACAGCTACACCTGCAGGTACACAGTTACACCATGAGGAACATAGTTACACCAGGAGTAACACAGATACACCAGGAGGAACACAGTTACACCAGGACGAACACAGCTACATCAGGAGGAACACAGCTACACCAGCAGGAACACAGCTACACCAGCAGGAACACAGCTACACCAGGAGAAGAACAGGTACACAAAGTTATACCAGGAGGAGCACATTTGCACCAGAAGGAACGCAGATACACGAGGAGGAACACAGTTACACCAGAAGGAAGACAGTAACACACCAGGAGAAACACAGCTACACCAGCAGGTACACAGTTACACCAGGAGGAACACAGTTACACCAGGAGGAACACAGCTACACTGTGCGGACCGCAGCTACATCGGAAGCAACACAGCTACAACAGGAGGAACACGACTACATCAGGAGGAAGACAGATATACCAGGAGAAACACAGCAATACCAGGAGAAACACAGCTACACTAAGAGGAACACAGGTATACCAGGAGGGACTCACCAACATCAGGAGGAACACAGCTACACCAGGAGGAACACGGTTACACCAGGAGGAGCACAGTTACACCAGAAGGAACACAGTTACGCCAGGAGGAACACATTTGCACGAGAAGGAACGAAGCTACAACAGGAGGAACGCAGCTACATCAGAAGGAACACAGTTACACCAGGAGGAACACAGTTACGCCAAGAGGAACGCAACTTCAATAGGAGGAACACACCTACACAGGAAGAACACAGCTACACTAGGAGGAACACAGCTACACCAGGAGGACCGCGAATACACCTGCAGGAACACAATTACACATGGTGGAAGAAATCTACACCAGGAGGAACACAGCTACACCAGCAGGTACACAGTTACGCCAGGAGGAACACAGTTACACCAGCCGGAACACAGCTACATCAGGAGTAACACAGATAAATCGGGAGGAACACAGTTACACCCGGAGAAACACAGTTACACCAGGAGGAACACATTTGCACCAGAAGGAACGTAGCTACACCAGGAGGACTTGTGGCTTAGCGCTTCTTTTTGATTATAATAATAATAATACACCAGGAGGAACACAGCTACACGAGGAGGACCCCAGCTACACCAGGAAGAACACAGTTACACAAGGAGGAACATAGCTTCACCAGTAGGAACACAGTTACACAAGGAGGAACACAGCTACACCAAGAAGAACACAGTTACACCAGGAGGAACACAGTTACACAAGGAGGAACACAGTTACACCAGTAAGAGCACAGTTACACCAGGAGGAACACAGTTACACAAGGAGGAACACAGCTACACGAGGAGGAACACAATTACACAATTAGGAACACAACTTCACCAGGAGGAAAACAGTTGCAACTGGAAGAACACAGCAACACCATAAAAAATGCAGCTACACCAGGAGGAACACAGACATATCAGTACGAACACAGCTACACCTGGAGGAACACAGCTACATCAGGAGGTACACAGCTACTCCTGGAGGAACACAGCTACGCCGTGAGGAACACAGCTGCACCTGCAAGAACACAGCTACACCATGAGGAACACAGCTGTCAGTGGAACGCTTTCCATCTGAACAAAAAACTAATGGAAAAATAAATAAAGAAAAGACTCTAGGAAAAATAAGAATAATGACTTTTGAGGATTTTACTTAAAAT